CTGACAAAATCAATGACTATTCTTCAGTCTCCATCTTTCAGGATAAAACAACGATTTGCATATTTGTATTTATTTCCAACTGGCCTCTTATTCTAATCTTTATTTTCCCTGTCCCATTTCTTGTCTATATTTGTCTGTTTTACAGTGTATTTTCTTACGGAATAAAAAATGTAAACCAACAATCAAAAGGTATGTCCAGAGAACTACAGGTCACACAACTGGCTAAAGCAGAGCCAGGGTAACGGGATCGGGGGAGCGATAAAGATTGTGACTGAGACTTCAGTGAACCTGATGGGTCGGGAGGTTTCTGTGGAAGGGGTTGGGGCTGTGAGAGGAGAGCTTGGATTCCACGGCAACCAGAGAACCCCACCGGAAGGACTCTATGCTTAAATGACGTTCTTTGGTTGTGATTGCCCCTCCCATTAACTTCCTTTTTCCCCCCTATAAGTACCTCTCCATCTTGGCACACAGGAAAATGCAGATTGCCATGTCTGCACATAGTGGGTTGCAATCCTTTCTTTTCCTAAATAAATCTTTTCTGGTTAAGAAACACCTAGTTGATACTCGTTTTTGTAGGACAGGTGGAGGTGGGAGCGATAAGGAAAGGCTGACTAAATAGTGGGTGCTGGGCTAAGGATTTGAACTTCATTTAGCAGGTAATATACAGCCATTAAAAGTGTTTATACAAGAAATGCTCAGCACTAAACTACTGGAATGTTGGCAGATTGTTCTGGCAGCAGGTAAAAAATTACCTGGGGGCAAGCGGTAGGGGCAGAGAAATAGGTGGCGAGGAGATCACTGCTGTATGTTTATTATCAAAGTAAAGCTGTAATGAGAACATAAATTAGTGTAGTAGTGCTAAAAAAGGAGAGGAGTGATCAATGGGAAGACATTACCACTAAACTTTAACCAATGAAGGTAATTTTATTACTGATAACAGAACTAATAGCTGGCCACAGTCAAGAGATGTTAAAACTACAAGTTTTTAGTCCACAGTTTACTAAATTTAATTTGATGGGAACTCAGTGAAAATGTAGTAAACACCAAAAATTCTCACCGTTAGAACTATAAACAATTATAGTATTGCTTCTCACTTTCTTTTCTCCTGAGTAAACACTTCTGAAATTTTCAAGTAACTCAAGCTTCTAAAAGAGTAAAGATTTGGCAAAACCCACCAGTCAGTCTTCTCTCATCATTGCCTCCCACCCTTCACTGGTTTTCAGTATAAGATGAAGAGAAAAAAAGAGAAATTTATGTAAAATAGACTGGGGAAGGCCAAATTATTCCAAATTATCTCAGTCCCTTTTCTTTTTTCCCCAAAGGAAATGCTTGTTGATGCTCGGAGGAGTTAAATTATAATAACACATGCCAGGAAGATGATGTCAGGGAAGGCGTGGTTAGGCCCTTTACAAGTCTGAAATTCCTTTAGTCCCAAACATTTCCTCTTTCCATCTCACCTACATTCAAATCTCTCGACTGAAGCAATGCTTTCAAATGTTGAAGAAATAGTGTCGAGACCCTAGAACATAGACTTTTTACTGCAGTCCTTTTTTTTTTTTTAATGAACCAGGAGTAGTTGAAGGGCATTAAAACAGATGTTTTTTTTAAAATGTACCACATTATTTAACAAAATCTCCCGTTGAAATCCACAATGTCCCCCTTCTGTGACTATTTTAATTCCAGAGAAAGGAATGGGTATTGAACTTTACATCCTGAGAAAGAATCTGCCTTTATTAGGCATTATATATTTGTTGTCTTGATTTGCATTTCCCTAATAATTAGTGGTGTTGAACGCCTTTTCATATGCTTTCCTTTGAAAAATATCTATTCACATTCTTTGCCTGCTTTTTATTGGATTATTTGTTTTTTGTTGTTGCTGGTTTATATGAGTTCTTTTATATATTTTGGTATTAACCTCTTATTGGAAGTATCATTTGCAAATATCTTCTCCCATTTGGCTGATTGCCTTTTTGGTTTGATGGTTTCCTCTGCTTGTGCAGAAGCTTTTTAGTTTGATGGAGTCCCGTTCATTTATTTTTGCTTTTGTTTCCTGTCTTTGGAGTCAAATTCCAAAAACACCACTGTGACCAATGTCCAGAAGCTTAGTATCTACGCTTTCCTCTATGTATTTTATTCTTTCAGGTCTTATATTCAAGTCTTTAATCCATTTTGAATTAATTTGTGTGTGTGATAAGACAGTGATCTAGTTTTATTCTTTTGCATGTGGCTGTCCAGTTTTCCCAACTCCATTTATTGAAGAGATTTTTCCTTTCTCCATTGTTTGTTCTTGGCTCCTTTATCATAAATTAGTTGCCCATATATGTGTGGGTTTATTTCCAGGTTCTCAATTCTGTTCCATTGGTCTCTGTGTGTTTTTATTTAAAACAGAAATTTATAATTTGTATTTTTTCAGAAGTTTAGAGTTTGATTGTTCTTTCTGTTTTTTTAATGTTTCAACAGGTCCAAAAACTTTACTACAGACATATTCTACTTGAGAAACTGAGTTAATAGAAATGGTAAATAGTCCAATATCAAAATTATAACTTTACCTTGTCATAGAAAAAATCTGGTGGGATACCTACATCAAATTGCTGAGTTATTTCCCTTGAGCGGGGAGGTTTGGGTAATAAACTTCCGGACAGAAAGGGAAGACCTGATTTTTAATTTTTATCCCTCTTTATGTTTAAGCGTTTTTGCTTTTGTTTTTTTAAATGGGCATGTCTTACATTTACTACTAAAAACTAACCCTGACTGGTACTGGTCAGTGGATTGAGCTCAGGCCTGCAAACAAAGAGGTTGCAGGTTCCATTCCTAGTCAAGGCACAGGCCTCGCTTGTGGGCCAGGTCCAGTTGGGGGCATGTGAGAGGCAAAGGATTGATGTTTCTTTCCCTCTCTTTCTCCCTCTCTTCCCCTTTCTCTAAAAATAAATTAATTAAAAAAATAAAAATAAAAAACTAATAAAACTGATTTAAAAAATTAAACCTTGGGTATAAGTATGCACAAGTTACATGAGCAAATCCATCCAAAACACTCTGAAAAAGAGAAATAAACACATTAAGCCCTATATCTCAGCACAAAAACAAAGAGCAATGTAGTAATGCTTTAGTTTAAATATATTAAATATTCACAAGCCTACATATACACACAAGGAGTCATATATATACCCCCAAAGTGATGTGATCATAATATTGACCTATAAGAACCCAAAGAATTCTTGACAAATAAATTAGTATGTGAATATGCAGCTACCCCTCATTCCCCACCAATGTTTCCTGAATTGTTTCTCAAACCTTACAAGTTGTCAAGAAGAGATATAAGATTTAAACCCAAATCCATAATCATACCTCTTTGTCCCCTATACTATCCTAGTTTAGAAGACGGTTAATTTCAAACACACACACACACACACACACACACACACACACACACACACTACAAGAGGAGAAGGGAGTAGAGAGCTAAGAAAAGAGAAGGTTTTAGATAGCATCAAATACGTGAAACCCCTAATAGGAAAAAACCAAATTCCTGTAACTCATCTTACTTTATTTTACTGGGTCTGGGTAACCAGAGAGACTTGGAGGGGAAAAATTAAGAAGGAAACTTTCATATAGTACTATATAAGATTTGAAAAGAATATAGATGAAATATCCCTCTATCAAATTCATAAATCCATATATGTGTGTGTGTATATATTATGAAAACCAATAATGGGTCCATATTTTTTAAGGCTATAAACAAAAAGAATACCATACAAACTAATACCCATAGACTAACACTAAGCATTTTGGGTCTAAACATTTACCCATTGCCTTGATCACACACACATGCTGTTAAAGTCTACCTGTAACAGCCCTGGCCAGATAGTTCATTTAATTAGAGATGCATCAGGGTGCATCAAGGTTGCAGTTTGACCCCCAGTCAGGCACATATCAGAATCAACCAATGAATGCGTAAGTAAGTGGAACAACAAATTCATGTCTGTCTCTCTCTGTCTCTCTCTCCCCCTTCCTCTCTCTCAAATCAATCAATCAATTAGCTTGTAATAGTCTCTTTAGTTATATGAGAAAACAGCAGGAATTCTTCCCTACCCTCAAATACTCCATCAGGTGATCAAAAGATCCCTAAATGCCCAGGGTATCTTTTTTCTTCAAAGAACAGCTACAACACTGAGAGAGGGTATAGGGTCTTTCTGTTACAATGCAAAGTTCCTCCTAATCCAGCACTTTGTGCCCTGAAATGCCAAGAAACTGCCGAGAATATTCCCCGCAAATGTGGGCATGATGTCCACCTCTCTCTAGCCTGCTCACGTGCCCAAGCATGGCACAACTCTTTGGCAGCCTCAGGTTAATCCGAAAGACTCCACGGATCCCTGCTGAAACTGGCTATCTACAGATCTCAAAGTACCAGCTCAGCAGCAAAACCCAAAGAATCACAGACCTTTCTTCCTTAATCCTACAGTATGTCTTAAGAATCTTTTTCTTCAGCGTTGAGTTAGGTAGGGTCTCTGTCTGGTCTAGAAGAGTATACCCAGTTCTTGATGAAGCTGTTGTGATTTCACTGGCGGTATTTCTGCTGCCCGATAATGCTGGTGGAACGGGTAGGAAGGAAGGTGGGGTGGGGAAGAGTGGAAACACTTAATCAAAAAGATAAAATAACATTGGAGGGGGTAGGCTGGGGGCCAGGGTCTGAGATGACATATTATCCCTGTGGAGATTGGGTGTATCAGCAGGAAGTCAAACTAACTTTATTTCTCAAAGATACAAACTTGCAAGCTTGATTTGTTTTTAATTCCTCTGCTTTCCCCAGTCCTCAAAGACTGTAAAATTCCTGGAACTTCAGAACCAGGTGAGAAAAGATACCAGAAAGTGGTGGAAAAGGGAGAGGTACTGGGATGAGAAAGGAATCCTTTTCCTGTCTTAAGGAGAATGTTAAAGCCAAGAGCACTCCCCGATTCCCAGAAAAGGAAGTAGCTGAATTCCAAAAAAACACTTTTCCCTACCTTTTTGTTGTTCTTGTTATAGCCAAAAGTCGAAATCCCAGGTCTGGAAGTCACCGATAGCAGCATTTTTCTCTTTAATATTAGGGAGCTGAGAGAGGAGAGGGAGAGGGGCAGGGAGGGGGAAGAGAGAGAGGGAGAGAGAGTGAGGGAGAAGGAGAGAGAGGGAGAGGGAGAGAGAGGGAGAGGGGGAGAGGGAGAAGGAGAGAGGGAGAGAGAGGGAGGGAAGGAAGGAGGGGGAGGGAGGGAGGGAGAGGGTGAAGAGAGGGGGAGGAGAAGGGGGAGAAAAGGAGCAAGAGGGAAAGAAATGAGGGGGGGTGGGTAAAGAATGAGCTAGGGCCGCTTGTTGACGTCACTGAGAGAAGTTAACCCGGAGTCTGAATGAGGCACTACCACTGGGTCCTAATGCCCAAGATGTTATTTTTTTAAATTTTTCACAAGCTTAGTGGTTAAAACAAAACAAAAAAAAAGTTCTTAGATCTACTCCTTTCCATTCCAGCCCTTTCTTCTAGGAAAAAGGTCTGATTCTCATGAAAAGACAAGGAGAATTATTTTCCTTTAAATATCAGCCATAAGAAGATTCCCAGCTTGATTTTAAAGGGGCCACGGGGGCACACTACTGTGGAAAACATGTGAAGAAAATCATACAAAGAACATGTGAGCTGAGCTGAGGACTCTCCCAGCCCCCACCCCACTCACAATTTATATTTACAGTGATCTTAGTATGTGAAGGAAAAACAAACAGGAGAGCTTACCAAAGAACAGAGACAGCAAAACGGACTATGAGAAATAACTAGTTTCAGGTCCTTGGACAGTTATGTTCCTCTTGGGTCATGCTAATGGGCTGATGCCTCTCACTGCTTTTCTGGTTCCTCCAGGTAAGACTTCTAATTTCAGAAGGAATTATCAAACTAAACTATATCATAAACCTTGGCACCTAGTGGTTTCTTTTTTCCCCTTGGATTTCCTGGGATATAATTGTCTTCAAGGTTCAAACTGGGTTCCAACTGTCTTTTTTGATCCTTTATCCCACTATTTCCTAATCTTTAAGATCCATGAAGCTGAAACAACTAGAGTTACTCACCAAACCTGGAATTTATGCCCAAACTGAGGTTCACAGAGTTGAGATGTTTCCTTCCAGTTGTCTCTGAGCTGTAAAAAAAAAAAAAAGTAACTACTTAAAAAGCATATGCTTCATACAGACTAAAAAGACAAAGTTCTTGAAAAAGAACATAAACCTAGAGTGAAAAAACTAACTTTAGAGTTGCAGCAAGACTCACCTCTAAGGTTCAAAGGAATGTCCTGCAGAAGTCCTAACAAGAAAAGAAACTTGTAGGATACCAGACATTTAAGAATGATACCCAGTAACTCCTGCCAGTCCAAGTGGAACAGGGGTGTAGAATGAAAGCCCTCAAATGCCTTACGCCCACCTTGCTGCCATCACAGGTGCTCTGTTAAGGCATAGATTAACCCTCTCTGCTTTGCCGCAATAACCAGTAAACGCAAACCCTCCCTTAAATGAAGTCCCAATCTCTGTTCTAGTTTTCCTGTCACTTTTTGCTATGATAACAGGACAGACAGTACTAACATTCTGCAGAGTAAATACACACAAACCGCACCCCCAATCTCGATAACTTTCATTTCCAATAGGACAGGAAGTGCCTGCTCAGCTCAGGGGACACAGGAAGGGTGGGAACAGCCACAGTGTGGGAATTGCAGCAGAGATTGGAAGCACAGCAGCCAATGCAGTAAATAGTATAGGCATCTCTCAGTGACACCATATTTTTTTAAAGTCCATTTTCTAGCCTCAGAGATTCTCATTCACTGTATACAAAGTTATCCTTGCTATTTAGGCCTTTAGTTAATGTTTTCTCCTTTAGCCTAATGATGTGGTACAAAAACCTTAACTTTTAAGGCCTGATTTATTGTGGGATTTATAATGGAAGTCAACTTGATTTTAAAAATTCTAATAGTCTCAATGTGTTATGGTCTCCTACTGCATTTCTTAACGCTCAATGATATCTTAGAATTGAAAACAGTTAGGCGTTGGCAAGGTAGCTCAGCTGGTTAGAGTATAGTCCTGAAACACCAAGGTTTTGGGTTTGATCCCAGGTCTGGGCACATACAAGAAGCAGCCAATGAATGAATAAATAAGTGGAACAACAAATTGACTTCTCTCTCTCTCTCTCTCTCTCTCTCTCATCACTTAAAATTAATACAAGTATTACATTTTTTAAAAAAGAATTGAAAATAGTGAAAACCGTAAGTTTTAGAGAGAAGTAGACATGAGTTCAAATCCACACACCACTGTTAGTCACCGTTTGTGTAACTTTAGGCCAAGTTAATTAACATCTCTAATCTACTCATTTGCAAAAATGGTGATAATACCCACTTTATCAGCATTTGGAATCAAATCTAAATTCTGATTTAGTCTGTCACTCACAAGCTGAGTGAGGCTAGGATAACTACATCACATGTCTGAACCTTACCTTTCTCATCTATAAAACAGAGTAAATAAATAGTATCTACTTCCTAAAATTGTAGTGAAATGAAGTAAGGGAATGCACAGACAGGCGCCTCGCACTTGGTAAACACTCCATAGATGTTAGCTCCATTATGATTAATTACTCTCTTCCAGTGTGTACCCCCCTGGGCACTGTGTAACCCAGATCTGGGGATCCGAAGTGACCATTTCCAAAAACTAGTATCTTAGTTACATTCAAAAGATTACATGAGTCAGAGGGGAGGGGGGCTGGGGACTGGGTGAAAAAGGTGAAGAGATTAAGCAAAGGAAAAAAAATCTCATAGACACAGACAACAGTACAATGATTACCAGAGAGAAAGGGAGGGGGAGTAGGAGAGGGTAAAGGGCACATAAATGGTGATGGGAGGGGTGGGGAACACACAATACGATATGCAGATGATGTGTTATAGAACTGTACACCCGAAATCTATATAATTCATTAACTAATGTCACCCCAAAAATTCAATAAAAATTCTTTAAAAAAAAAGATTACTCAAGAACTAAGCAGGCTAAACTTTATAACTGTAAATACCAAATAAGATGTTTCAGGAATCACCCAATCCAATTTCTTCTCTTTCTTTACCTTCCAAACAATCTGATTATTTGGAAATTCTTTCCATAACTTTAAATATCCTGGAAAATGGTGAACCATCTCTTATCTCTAGAAAAAAAGGCAACAAAATGATACAGAACTAAAGCACACTAGATACAAGACACCTCAGCTCCCATTTCTCTAGAGTCCTACTACTCTAAGAAATAGAAATGAGAGTAGGAAAAAAAGTGGGATTTTCTTTGAACACCATTTCTTGGCTCTAACAGTAGACAATATCAAATAAATTCTATTTGACATGCACTAGTACAAAATGTTAGGTTTTTACAGGCTGTCAAATAAGTTTAGGGCCATAGAAGTAAAAATGATCTAGATTTGTGAACCAATGTCAAAAGCTAATTATGTCATTGCCCTTACCAATGTGGTTCAGTTGGTGGGAGCATTGGCCCAAGACTAAAAGATTGCTGATTTGATCCCCAATTAGGGCATGTACATTTCTCTCTCACATTGATATTTATTTCTTGCTCTCTCTCTCTCTCTCTCTCTCTTCCTCTCTCGCAAAAGCAATAAAAAAAATGTCCTTGGGTGAGGACAAAAAAAAGTTAATTATGTCAAAGAGCCTCAACAAGACTGAACAATACATCCTTTATTTTGATAAGTGTAGACATATTTTTAAAGAAAGTTATGCCCTGGATTGGTGTGGCTCAGTGGATTGAGTGCCAGCCTATGAACCAAACGGTCACTGGTTTGATTCCCAGTCAGGGCACATGCCTGGGTTGTGGGCCAGGTCCCCAGTAAGGGGTGTTCAAGAGGCAACCACACATTGAAGTTTCTCACCCTCTCTTTCTCTCTCCCTTCCCCTCTCTCTAAAAATAAATAAATAAAATCTTTGGGGAAAAAAAAAGTTATAGAATTTTGTGGAAGTGATAGAGAAGGCAATGGAGCTCTGTAGTTAGATTCAGGAAGCATATGAGAGGAAGGAGAATCCTATAAGAATTCTTCAGTGTGTTTACTTTACCCCCATAATCTGCTTTACTGATTAAAGTGCCCATATTTTTCTAGATTTAGTCAATGCTTCTCAAATTCTTGGTTCTAATGGGTCCACTACCCAAGAGTTTTCTTGAGATGAAAAAGTAAAATAAGTGTTATTTGGAACTTTTCTTGGAATTAGAGATTCGTACCACTGATTTCATATAGACTGGTTCGTGACTTCTCCAGAAAAATACACTTTTAAATAAGTGTCTCGGGTAAAAGAGATGGCTGAATCAACCCTGATCTGCATGTTGAAATGTGTTTGTATGACACTATTGGCTCCTCTGCACCAGAACGGAGAACTCAAAAGAATGTATTACCTGCAGATGTGCTAGACCCTAGATGTGTTAGACATCAACTGGAACCAGGCAGATGTGGCACATGTGCCTGAAAGCAGTGAGGAAGGACCAGTTTGCTACTAAATCTCTGAATGTGGTTCAGAGACCTGACCAAGGTAGATTAGGGCCAAGAACACTTCTTTTGTTTTTTAATCAGCTATTAACATTCTCTGTGCACCCTGGCTGGTGTGGCTCAATGGATTGAGTGCTGGCCTGCAAACTGAGAGGTCACTGGTTCGATTCCCAGTCATGGCACATGCATGGGTTGTGGGCCAGGCCCCCAGCTGGGGGTGTGAGAGAGGCAACCAATTGATGTATCTCACATATCATATGTTTCTCTCCCTCTCTTTCTGCCTCCTTTCCTCTCTGTCTAAACATAAATAAATAAAATCTTTAAAAGAAAAACAAAAAACATTTTCTATGGGTTATCTTTCCTGCCACTGATTAACTTGTGTGCACAAAAGACTAATGGAAACAAACCAAAAAGTTTAATTTATTTCATGGGTAAGAAATGAAAGGCATGGCTCAGTTGTTTGGGTGTCGCTCCACATAGCAAAAGGTCCCAGGTTCAGTTTCCAGTCAGGACAAGTGCCTGTATTGTGGGTTTGGTCCTGGTCAGTCAGGGTGCAAGAGGAAACCCTGATGGATGTTTCTTGCATCAATGTTTCTCTCTTTCTCTTTCTCCCTCCCTTCCCCTCTCTCTAAGAATAAATAAACAAAACCTTTTTTAAAAACAGAGAGGTGAAAAAAAATTATTTAACATATAAGCGTCCTTAAGCAAGAAAGAAGTGAAAAAATTTCATTTAACATATTGTATAAGATTCCTTAACCAAGAAAAATTAAAGAGATGCATCAAAAAACAAAGAAAAGCCTATCCCTTCTGATATAGGATGGAATGACAGAATTGGGCTAAAACTAGAAATTGGGAAGAAGTAGCCAGCCTCTCAACCCCTTGATTTAACTCACTGGAAAGCAGGGGAAAAGAGATACAACTCTGAAGAGTTATCTTATACCCTAAATATCAGTGCTTATAGTATGTTCTCTTCTTCTACAGCAACAGATACTTGGGTTAAAAATAACAGGGAATATCCTAACAAAATTTTCAAATACACTTTTCCTTTTCCAGACACTAAAGAAATATAGGAATCAAACTATATACAGTCCTTCAGCTGTTCCATTGCTGGTATTACCCAAGAGAAATGAAAAATATGTTTACACAAAGATTTATACACAAATGTACCTAACAACTTTATTGGTAACAATCAAAAGCTAAAAACAACCCAAATGTCTATCAACAAGAGAATGGATAAACTGTGGTTACTTCATACAATGGAACTGGCTATGAAAAGGAATGAACTACTGATACAAGCAACTGCACAGGTAAATCTCAAAAACATTATGCTAAGCAAAAGAAGCCTACCACAGAAGTAAACAATACTAAGTGATTCCATTTATATGAACTTCTAGAAAAGGCAAACCGAATCTGGTGACTGGGGCCGGGGTGGCAGAGGGGGATCACTGCAAAGCAGGAGGAAAAAACTTTGGGGGTTGATGGAAAAGTTTTACATCTTGATTGTAGTGGTCATTTCCCAAGTGTATACATTGTCAAAACTCACTAAACGGTGCACTTTACTTTTTTATAACCACTGTGAATAATAAGAACTGTGTGTGGATGGCCAATAGACATATGAAAAGATGCTCAAGGTCACTAATCACCAGAGAAATGCAAATTAAAACCACAATGAGATACCATCTCACAACCCTCAAAATGGCTTTTATCAATAAATCAACAAAGAACGTGTGCTGGCAAGGATGTGGAGGAAGGGGAACCCTTTTGCACTGTTGAGGGGAATGCAGACTGGTGCAGCCACTGTGGAAAGCAGTTTGGAGATACCTCAAAAAATTAAAAATGGATCTGCCTTTGACCCAGTGATCCTATTTCTGGGACTATATCTGAAGGAGCCCAAAACACTAGTTCAAAAGAACATAAGCCCCACTATCTTCATTGCTGCGTTATTTACAGTCACCAAGATATGGAAGCAGCCCACGTGTCCATCAATAGATGAGCAGATAAAACAACTATGGGACATGTACACAATGGATTTCTATTTGGCTGTAAAAAAGAAAACTTTACCCTTTGCAACAGT